AACTTGTGTGGACATTCTCCTTTAGAACTAGGTTTAGTTCAATAGTTACTAGATCTTTCTTTAGGTTTCAAATTTAGTATTTTATAATATTATTAACTATTTTTATAATAATTATATGGATTATTCAAATAACACAAAATGACTATCAAAACCAAAAAAAAAAACAAAAATAAAAGAATGGAAGAAGCTAACACAAAACGAAATACAAATAATGATATTTTACAATATGGTGATATGTTTAAAGATGCTATTCCTTTAACTACTTCAGAAGTATTGGAAGAAGTATCAACAAAAGGAACAGGAAAATAGTTTGTTTTTTTTTTATATAATTATTAAAAAGTAAAATAATTCTTAATACTTCAGTGCACGTGAAACAGAAGAATATTGTAAACAATTTAAAGACAATGGTAACTCAAAAGAACTTATTGAAAAGTTAAAAAGCATGTCTCATTTGTCATTACTTGAAATTGTTTCTTTATGTAATTTTAAACCAACATCAAATGATCAAGCAAAAATGTTAATAAAATCATTAGACAATTATCCTGACTCAGACTTAAAAAATGTTATTGCTATATTGGATAGTGATAGTAAAGGATTAGATGAAGATGATTTAGATTAACTCTTCTTTTTCTTATATTAATTTAACACTTTTTTATTTACTTTTATGTTTTTCTATGACACTTTTTAAGAAATTTATTTTACAAAATAATGAACTTAATTATTGCAGAAATGGTTGAACATTTAGACCAAGAACAAGATAATAAATATAGTGAAATGATTGCTAAGTTTGGTAAAGAAACCATTGAAGCAATATCTGAATTAGAACAACAACAAATAGAACTTAATAATTTAACAATACAAAATGAAATGGTAATGATAAATGAATTTCGAGAATCTCATCAACGATTTCAAGCATTTAAACCTTCACGTGAAAAAATTCCCCACTATTGGAGTTATGTTCTTCAAAACTCTGGAATATTAAAGAAAATACAATCAACAAATACAGACATTGAAATCTTAGAACATTTAAAAGATATTTATCTTACATCATTTACAGTAGTTAGTACAGTTGGACCAGTAATAGCTGATAGAAAAAGATTAAGGATTGGATTTAAGCTTGTATTTGAGTTTGAAAAAAATGAATGGTTTGAAGAAACAGAACTAAGTAAAACAGTGTCATATATATTTAATGAACCAATTTATTATCCTAAAATTTCAAATTCAGGTGTTACTTTTTATGATGGAAAAAACCCTAAAATGATTGATTCAAGTCAACATTCATTTTTTGATTTCTTTGAACCAATAAACCAAAAAGAAGAATATAGTAATGAAGAGGAAGAAGAAGAAATTGAAGATAAATTAGATGAACAATTAGATGATACAATATGTTTTTCTAATGATATTATTCTTAATAGTTTATATTATTTTAAAAATCAAATGGAACCTTACTCTGATGATGATGAAGATGATTTTTCAAGTGAATTTTCTTCATTATTAAATGAAGATAGTGAAAGTTCAAATGATGAAAGTTATGAGAGTGAATAATTGAGTCATTTTTATCAAACAAACATCAAATTGTATTAACGATAATAATTGAATTATTTGATGGCATTATATATTTTTAATAAAGCAGAGCTTAGGTGTTGTCTTATTTCAATATTTTCATGAGGAATTAATGAAAGAAGGTTTGAGAATGATTGTTGATGAACAAGTCTAAGTAACTCATTATCACATTTTTCAATTAATTCAAATGCAAGAAGAAGAATAGTATCTGAGCTAATACTTAAAAATTCATTCATCAAATTGACAATAACAATTGGATATGTCTTACATACTTCATGTGCAAATAAAGTGAGATGATATTCTATTGCATTTTTGATTGATAAAACATTTTGATAATTTGGATTTGTTTGTTTAAGTTCTTTAAGTACATCAATAAATCGTTTTATATTATTTAATAAACAGATTAATATATCTTGGTCTTCTTCTTTAGATATTAATGTAATTTGTTGAGAAAATGAAGATATTGCATTTAAAAATGTATCAAAAGCAGATGTAGTTGATGGGAAATCAAATGATGATGGTATAAATAAATGAGGAATAAATTGGTCTTTGAACGTTGATTTTATTTCAGGTGAATGATGATGCTTTTGTTTATCTTTTTCTTTACATTCAACAGAACAATAAAATGTATCACACAATGGACATCTTAATTTATTAAATTCATATAATTCTTTATTACAAAAACTACATTTGAGTTGTTCTTCTTCATTAGAGGTTATTTCTTGATGGTTTATTTTACTTTCATTTGTTAAAGGTATTGAAGGTAATTCAACAAAATATTTCATTGAGTCATACATGTAATTAATAATATCTTCTATCATAAGTTTATACATTGGAATATAATTTGGATTATCTATAAAATAAGAAAATATTAATTTAATTGTTAATACAGCTACAGATGAAGATTGAGAAATACCTCTAATAATAAAAGTAATTACAATATGAATAATGTCAGCCATAAATGGTTGTAATAATCCTGGATTTTTAGAAATGAAATCACAAGCTCTTGTTAACATACTTAAACATACAGATGACCACCATTCATCTCCACGAGAATTAAATATATTTTCAGATTTTAAATGATAATATCCAATTGGTTCTAAAACTCTAAAGAATATTTTATAAAACACAAAATACCAATCATTATATGAAAGTTTTGGAGAATAAATTTCAATGTAATGAGTTAAAGATTGTAATGCCAAAGAAGAAATAATAATATGTTGACTTTTTGTAATATTCATATGAGTAAATAAGAAATCAAAGAAGATATCAAAGAAATGAGAGTCTAAACTTAAGTCAATAGTATCAATTGGATATTTATCAATAATTCTATTTAATCCAACAATAATAATTGGATCACTTTGTTTATCTTGAACAACTGCTTTTTCATTAGTAAGAGAAAATTTTATAAGTGTTTTAAAGAAATATGAATAATATTTTTCATCAAATTCATATTTTAATTCTATTATTGTGCTTAATGTTTCATATCCTTCTTTCATAATACTTAAAGATTCATCCATAGTAGAAATGAACAATATTTCAAATACTTCTTTCCAAGATTGTGTTATATAATTATCTTTCTTTTTTAATTCTTTATTTAATACTTCAAGAATATTAGAACGACATTTCTCTAAGGGAGAGTCTCCCATTGCAATAACAACTGGTTTTAATATTTCTTTTGATTCTTTAAATAAATCCAATTCACAAAATCTAAAAAATATTTCTATAGCTTTCATTGAAATAGTTTCATGTGGATGAAGCATACATTGTAATAAGAAATTTCTTATAATTTCAATTGTTTCTTTATTATTTATTTCTTTATTCTTTTCAATAAATCCTTCAACAATTAATTTAAATTGATTTAATAATAACATTGGTGGAGTGATACAATTTAATTCATTTAAGGCACTGCTACTTAGACATTTGATAATTTCACAAAATCTGTCTTCATTTAATAATTTTAATGAATCAAATATTAATGGTATTGTTTCAATTTCAATTTTTAATTCTTTCTTTAAATTAAGTATATCATTTGAAATATTTGTTGGTATTTTAATATCTTTTGGTTGATATAATTGATGTTGAACTTCCATAAAAAATAATTTTCTAGTGTTTTTTGGAATACTTTTTAATGTTGAAATAGTTGGATGTTCAATTAAGTTCATTTGTTCAAATCTTGAAAGAACAATAAACAAATACTTCCATCCTCCATGTAATTTATTTTGTAATGAATTACTAATATCTATTATCATTTTAGTAACCTGAATATTACATGATTTACAACTATTAAAATCATAATACACACACCACTCACACATAGTTTTAATGATAAGTTCAGTCATTTCTCTACAATCCATTACAATACAAATGTCAAGCATTTCTTTTAAATAAGTTAAAGTATCTGTAATATCATTATATATATCAAACGCAATTTTTAAACTTTTTAATTCTATTGGAACCATAGTTTCTATAAGTGCATGAAGAATATCTTTATTAGAAATGGATAATGATTCAACAGTATCTTCATCAATTTTAGCTTCAGTAATTTGACTTTTTAACAATAAAATTTGAGGTCTTTGATGAGGATTATTTTTAATAGTAATTATATATTTATTATCATCTTCAACTTTTTCTTTTTGTTCTGGAATCAAAAATGCATTTTGAGTAACACTTTGGTATAAAGGTTGAAGATAACTATCAGGTAATGTAAAATTAAATTGTTCAACCATTTGTTTAAATTTCTCATAACTATCCATTGTTTTTGTTTTGACATTTGAATTATGTGTTTCTGTTGATAAGAAAATAATTGTTGTAGCTAAGAAATATATTTGATTTGATGTAATATTCATCTCTTTCATTTTATCACTCCAACACTCAGCATATCTATGAGCAAACATTTCCATTACACGATCAACTACTTGACCTTCTCCTGGCATAACAAATAAATTAAACATTAATCTTAATGCTTCATCAACACTTAGTCCATTAAAATCAATTAATTTCATGTATTCTTTAAAGACCTCTTTATTAAAGTCTTTATTAGAAGTAAGATATTTACCTAATGCAATTTTATCAATGCCTTCTAAGTTTTTAAGAAATTGAGCAACAGACATTGGGTCATTATAACATAAATTTGATTTAATCATATATGAAACTCCATCATTTGGTTTTTCTTTGAATAATTGTTTAGCTTTTACAATATCAACTTTAATTTTTCTATCAATTAAACATTTTAAAACTAATGTTGAGTTTGTTTTAACAGGAATTCCATTATCTAATTCAACCATTCCAATACTTTCTAATCCATTTACCTGAATCATTAATTTTTTAATTGAGTCTATGATAATATGAACTAATGATAAACATTCTTTTCTCATATCTGCAAGAATTTTAATAGGAATTTCTTCTATAGAAGCATTTTTAAATTCAGGTGTAAGAATAAAACAAATAGTATTTAATAACTCTTCAAAGATATTTTGTCCAAACTTATCACAATCATAATTTAAGAATATATCATTTAAAAATTGAGAGTCTTGACATAACTTTACTAATTCAGATATAACTATTTGTTTATATGAATATAATGGTAAGGGTGATAAAATATAGAAGAAAACTATTGAATTTAATAATAATGCAATTTCAGTTTTTAAATTTGTTCTAAATTTGAGTATACAAATAATGAGTATTTGTAATGATGTAATAAATAATGTTTTATCATCAGAAAATACGTTATAACTTAAACAACCAACAAAATCAATATTCCATTTATTGATTACTGTAGGATTACATGTTTCAGGACATTTATCTAACCAATAACGTGTTAATTCAAGAATATGTTTTTCCATTCTAAGAACCATTGGTCGTTTTCCTCTTAATTCTTTCCATGGGGATTTCTTAATTTGTTCTGATAAAAATGGAGATTTTATATGATCAAATGAACTGTTTTTTATTAATAAACTTAGTACTGCTAAATGAATTGGTAAATCTTCTTCAAGTAACTTTTCTTTTTCAAGTGCACTATCTTGTCTTGCTGTTCTTCGTTTCATTTGAGCTAATTCTTTTTGAACTTGAAGTTCTTGTGTACTTCCACCTTTAGTTAATGTAGACTTTTCTTCACTCGTTTGTCCAATATATTCTTCTGTGCTTTCTCCTTCTTTTGGTGTTTTGGGAGATTTAATTTCTTTATCAACAGAACTGTCTTCTGATGACGATATTTCTTCATCATCAGAAGCAAATTCTCCAAGGAATGTTTCGTGAGGTTCATTTGAATGATAACTTGTATTTTCATGAGAATTAATACTATCATTTGAATTATTTTTTATTTCAATGACTTCTTTATCTTCTTTCTTTGTTGGTTTACTTAAAACTGATATAGGAGTATTTCCATGGAAATTATTTTGAGGATTCACAAAAATATCATCATTACAAGGAGTAAACCTTAGTTTGTCTGAGGAACTCAATTTAATTCCTCTAGTTACTGAAAGTGACATTGCTCTATCACGTTCTCTTCTTAAACCATTTGAACTAAAAAATTGTAAATGTGAAGATAATGATGGAGAAGGCTGTTCAATGTCTTCATCAAAACTAGTTACTCCTCCATACATAATAAATAATGAACGAATATATTTTTCCTGAATCTTTTTAATTGCACGGGCATTTGACTAATTAAATGAATACCACTTATATATCTTTAAAATGATATACTAAAACAAACATCATTTGGAGAAACAACACAAAACATATCATTAAGTAATTTAAAATTTTCAAGAACAAATTTTTTTTCTATTTTGAATGGAATAGTATTTTCTATTAGTCCAAATGTAAATTGAAGTATTTTTTTATTTGATTTAATATTTTGAGCTGTTAAATAAGATATTGATAATTCTAATATTTGTTGAACAGTATTTACAGTTAATATTTCAGGTTGAATTAATGCTAATAATGATGATGCCAATTTATCTGTTTGTTTAATAGAATAATAAATTGTTAGTCCAATTTTCATACATCCAAGTAATGAACTTTGATTAGTATCACAAAGATTATTTCCTTGAATAAATTTATTTTCATATTGTTGGTAAGTTTCCATAGTTTGTTTTTGTTTACGGTCAATACATGATTGGATAACAGCGAGAGACATTTGAATAGAATATTTATCTCCCATGTCTAGAAACCACTGATTATTAAGTTCATTTTTCAAAATAACTCTGTTTCCTTTTTTAAAGAATTTTTTATTTTTTTTTTTCTGCCTCTTCCTTTCTCCATGAAACAAAAGAAGAAATTCAACTCAACCCCGTTTCTTCTTCAAAAAAGGTGCAAATTCCATTAATATGAAAATTGAAAAATATGTATTTTCACTTTAAAATTTTCTTTTTGTATCAAAAAGATATTTGTGGTTTTATTTTGAGTGGTTTTCAGTTGTCTTAGTTTGTAATATCTTCACTTAAAAAGAGTTAAAAGAAGATAACACCTTTCGTTGCTCATTCTTTAAATCTGAGTTATAACTGAATGAAACAAAATTATTTATGTCAATTCCTGTTTGAACGAGTTCGTACAATAAAGATTTATTAAACTAACAACCCCTATAAGAATTTAAAGTATCTAAAACAAGAATATTAACAAAAACTAGATATGAAAACCCATAAAAAAAAGTTGTGAGAAATGCACAATAATAATAACATAATAAGTCACAATTATTTTTATTAATCCAAAAAGTAAATAACCATATCCAAAACTTCGTTTTTTGATAATAGAATAACATTTGTAATAACAATGAAAGTACTAGTATTTATACAAAAAATAAGTTTGGTTATAATACATTGAGTCAATAGAAATAGAAGCTCATATTAATCATAAAAGAAAATAATCCTATACATAAAAGACAAAAAACTTTCAGAGTTAAGGATTGACTCTATAAAATTATTTTATAAAAGTTTTAAAATATTAATTGTATAACAATAAATTAATGACTACTTTTCATTTTTACTTATAACAAATATTTAAACGTATTTAGGTCATTGTTAGTTATAGAAATAATATAACATTAGTTTAAGAAAAAACTGTCTTTATAAGAGTGTTTTTGATAAAAAAAATAAGACTAAATTTCAACAATGAAACATTCTGATTATATAAACTTCTAAATTAATAATAAAAAGTATTGAAACTAGAATTATTTAATAGTAATATAATATTTATCTTTTAATTTGATAATATCTTATACTAATTTCTTTATTTCTATAAATACTAAAAGGCAAGTATTTACTATTAAAGTTTCATTAATTTTCTTTTAAAATTTAAGTGAAGTAAAATTAATATGATTATATCCTCTAAAAATCAAAATGGATAAACTATTCCTAAAGTTTAATAAACAAAAATATATTTAAATTCTAAAAGTCTTTTATCATTTTATTAAAATCTCTTGTTTAATTAAAAATTACTTTTTTATATTTTTATAAATAATGAATATCAAAATTGATGAAATGTATTAATTTTTAAATTAACGTTCAAAGTAACGACTAAAAATCATGAAGTTAAAATATTATAATAGAAAATAACAGTCAAATAAGAGAAAAACATTTTTATTTTATAAAATGTTATTCTCAAAAAAAGTTTTTTTAATTTAATACAAAAATTATGCACTTTCATTTTGAATCAAAAAGACAAATAAACAAAAAGGTGAATTAATTTATTCACTTAACACTAATTTAATTCTACACATACGTTAATTCCTCTTAAAAATTATTTTTAATGAATTAATTTAAACACAAACAATTTTAGAAGAGAGATAAAGAATTGCATCCTTTTCCGCATCTTTTGCCATTGAATTAGTAATAATTGACCCTACAATAACACTCACAATAATAATAATAACAACTGCAATCATAATTAATGGAATGAAGTCAGTCACAACAACTGACTGATACTATTTTACAATAAGTATTATTTTTATTAATTAATATTTATTACTATAAAAATATAATTAACAAACAACAACGGGTTGAAATAAAAGTGATTGGTATTCTTTTGTTGGGTTTTCTTGTACCTCTCCATAAGTGAAAGCAAGAAATGTCATCATAAAAAGAAGGAGATAATTCATTAGAGCTAAACGAATGTCTATTCGATTTTTAGTTTTTTTCTCTTTTAACTTTTTATTTTTGTGTTTTATTTATTTGTCACAAAAAATAAATAACATTAACTTTATTTTATGTTTTTGTTTTTTGTTAATAAAATAAGAAAATAAAAAGATGAAAAAGATTGAAAAAAAAATAAAATATAATATTACTCTAAAAATATAAAGAAATAACTCAAAACATTCACTCGTATGTCTTGTTGTTCAGGAAAAAACGAAAGTATTATTGATAGTTTGCTTTTCATTTAAACAAATAAGAGAATTTATACTCAGTTAATAGTCACAAATGATGAACCTCCAACACCATTACCTTTGAGTGAACAACTTTCTAAAGGAATAAAAGTGGTTGTTTTAGGAGAGATGGGAACTGGAAAGACTTGTATTTTACACAGATGGATTAGTAATGAATTTGTTAGACAAACAGCTACTGTTGGGTGTGCATTTAGTTCAAAAACAGTAACCTATAATAAAAGAATTATTAAATATGAATTATGGGATGCAGCTGGACAAGAGAGATATCGATCATTATCTTCAATTTATTATAGAAATGCAACAGTTGCATTATTAGTATATGACATTACAAAACGGGTTTGTTTAAGTTCAATATTAGTTAACAAGAAAAAAAAAAGAAAATAATAAGACTTATTGAATTAGGAAACATTTAATGCTGTAACTGATTGGGTTGCTGAATTAAAGTCTAATACGACCAATGACATAATGATTTTAATTGTTGGGAATAAAGATGACTTACAAGAAGAACGTGAAGTTAATCAAAATTCTGTGAATGATTTTATTAACAGTTCTAACTCAAATATTATTGGTAATTTAGAATGTAGTGCAAAAACAGGGAATAATATTAATCAAATATTTGATATTATTTCAGAGAAATTACTTGAATTGTGCAATGAATAATTGTATTATTTAGGACTAGTTATTTATTTTTTCATACATTAATAATATTTTGTAACAAATACTCTGTCTATCAGAGAAAAAATTAAAACTAATTAATTCTATTGAATTAAAACAAGAGACAAAAGATTAATTATTTCTTTCCTTTAGTATTTTTGTATATTCCATGTCCAATTCTCTTGAGAGTTTTTTTGGTATCTGTTTTATGTGAAATATGTCCATGTGACTTAAGAACATACTTAGCATCACGGGCAATATCTCTAATAGCGTTGAATCTCTTTTCTAATCTTAATCTTCTAATCATTCTAGCTCTGAATTTTCTTGGGATGTTTTTAACAATTTTCTTCATAACTCTAAGAAGGGCTAATTTCTTTGTATGGTAAACAACCATTTTAGATCTTAAATGTGTTAATTTTCTTCCAATAATATACTTTTCTCGTTTTGTGATCACATTTTCTAAATCTTTAATATTTTCATCAATCATATCTCCGACATGTCTTTCTTCATCTTCAACTTCATCTAATCTCATAGCAACTTCTCCAAGTCTTTCTTGAACACGGTATAGTGTTGGCATCCAAAATCCACTTGATTGAGCACATGCTGAAAGGACAAATGTTAAAGCAAGGATTGCAAAAAATCTCATAACAATAATATGATGATTTTTAAGTTCTTTCTTTCTTTTTTAGTTATTTTTGTTTTCTTTTTTCTTCTTATTAAAATATAGTTTTTTAGTAGTTGTTTTTTTTAATTACATTTTTATGATTTTTATAATTTTTTTTAAGTTCTATGAAAATATAAAAACATTGTTTATATTTTAAGTTGAGTCTATGAAGAATCTTCCTTTATTTCTTTTCTTTATCTATTGTTTCAAGGTTATTCCTAACTATTACCTACAATGAGTTAATGAATTTATTCTTTCATCAAAGTTAATAAAGAAGACTAAACAACATCAATATAAATCCAATTATTAAATCTCTTTAAAATAATATTAAAAAGGAAACTTATATATTATTATTTGTTTGAACTTAAATTATTTCTTTAATAGGTGGATGTTTTTTTTTTGTTTAAATATAAAAAATTCATTATATTTAATTTTAGTCAAAGTTTATTTCATTATTTTGTATTTCATAAAGAAAACATTCAGATGAGATATGGAAAACTAACTAAATGATTAAAGAAATAAATACTCATTGAGTTCTTTGATAAAAATTGCTTATTATATGATTGGTTATACATAAGATTGTATTTATAACAACTAGTTGAATGGAAAGATAAATAAAATAGTTTTAGACTTAAGAGAATTAGAATGAGAATATTACTATCTTTATTTGGACAGAAATACATTTTGTTTGATTCAATGCCAAACTAAATAAAGATATTCTTTAGCACTAGACTATTAAAATGTCTTGATAAGAATAATACATCAAAACAAAGAATTTGGTAAGTCTTTCTAAGAAAGGAATTTATATTTATTAATTATTTATATAAAATTAGATCGAAGGTGGCACGTCTGAAACACCACACATAAACCCTAGTACAAATTCATTCTTCGACTCTCCCAGTTATTATCTGGTTATGACGGTGCCTTTGAATTAGGAATGTATTAGGGAATGCTGCAAAGGGTGCAGCAAGAGAATACAGTAGAATATTACGTGGATGTAATATAAGAATCTACTGAAGTGTGGGTATGACTAAGAGAAGATTAGTCAAAGTAAGACTAAAAAGAAGATTAGTCAAAGTAATACAGTAGTAATAAAATGATTCCTTCTCCCATTCATAAAATAAGAAAAATGAAATTCCTTAAAATTAAGGCAGAAAACAAACAAAGGCTTAAAAAGAAGAATTAAGCAGAAGAAGTTTGAAAAACCTTAATAGGAAGAAATAAAGGAAAGAAGTGCTTTCCTCAATTTCCAATACAAACCTAAATGATAGGTTCAACAAAGAGATTACTCTTTTTTAATAAGCTCAGGGATGGGATTAGTCTCCCCTGAGCTAGGAAGAATAGATGAAAATTCTATTAATACTTAATTAACTAATTTTTATTAATTATTTATATAAAATTCATGACATTAGATTATATAGTACTACTAATGAATGAATGAGATTGTTTAATCAACTAATTATTATCAACATTATGATAAAAAGATTGAAGACTTAGTTTTTAAATTAAAATAACCATAAAATACTTTCTCTTGAAACATCTTTTAAATTATTATTTAAACTAGACTTGTTTAACTAAAATAGATAGAAATAGTTAACCAAAGTAATTAACAATGATTTCATTTGGTTAATAATTTGAAGCTTCAATAAATGTTAATATCTTGACTGATAAAAATAAAAGAGTTTCAACAATATTTGAAAAACAAAGAAAGATTTATTTGCTTGAATTATTCATAATAAGAGTGTTATTGTTTAATCTTATTGCAACAATTAAGCTAACATCAAAGTATTTGTCATACAATTTGCTTATTAATGAATATTATCATCATTTAAAATGTATTAAGACACAAATAAAACAGTTTTTTTAAATTGAGTATAGAGTATTAACGTTACCAAGACTTAAGAAGAATCTTTCAAAAATAACATAAAAAGTCATTATATTTTAATTGATAAAAAGGTGTATTATGATTTGGGGAAAAACATAAAAGAAAAAAGCAACAAGACATTAATATTAAATAATTTCTTCTTTAAAAGAAATAACGTATGACACCAACAAAGAAATTATATACAAAAGCTATTTGACAAGAAGAAAAAGTTTTTCAGAGAGTCTAATTAGTGTTATTTATTAAATTGAACAATATATAAAATTTTGAAATTAACTTTTATTATTTGCTAATATGTAATATTAAACGATATTTTAAAACATAACATTCATAATAATATCTCAAGTGATAAAAGATACTAACCACATAGGTGTATAAATTTAAAGAGGAATAAATGAAAGGAAGTAAAAGTATGTCGATACAATAGTAATAAAGAAAAGAATAATAATTAATCAATCCGTTAATAGAACGCAAGGGTGTTCTGATAAATATAGGAAAATATTACAAAAGGGAGTAAATTAGTTAGAATTAATACAAATAACAATTTTAATAGTTAAAATTTATTTAGACTTCAAAAAGTTATTCGGAGAAAATAATAGAATAGAAAAATTCAGACTTGTTGCTTTAACAGGAATACTCTGGAAAAGATTGCCTTTCATGATTTTAGGTAGTCAGTTTCAGCAGGTTTGATAGTAGTTTGATAAAAGAAAGGAAATAAATAGTAAAGGATCTTGAATAAAAAAAAAAGTTAATTAGTATGAAATCTTAAATTGTATTGAAGGGAGAACATTTAGTTTCTTAGAGTTTTTTTTAAGTAAGAACGATGGAATAAAAATAAAGATGTGAGGAATTTTTTTGAAAACTGACAGTTAATCAATTTTGTTTGAAAATCAAAGATAAAATAGAAAAAATTATACAACTCACAAATTTCTTAGATTTTAATCTGTTTTTTTGTTATTTAATGAAAAATAGCAAGGGAGGTCATATTGGTCGAATGACTTCAATACAATTCGTTTGTTCTTTATTCTTTTAAGTATTATTTAATTTATTAATTATTTAAATAGTCAAAACTTCCATCATTAAGTCGTAGTGATAAACAAAGAAAAATTTCATTAGAAGAGAGTAATGAATTACCAACACCTACTGCACAGTCATCACACTCAGAAAAAAAAGGAAATTTAATTAAAAAATTTGGTACTAATTTGAATCAAATGTTTAAAACACCACGAATTGGTTTTATGGGAATGATTACACCATACATCCCTCCTAAAAATGAAAATAATGATGGTGAAAATGAAATTAAAGAAGTTGATAGTGTTAAAGAAGAACATAAAAATGAAGAATTAGAAATAACAAATAGTGAGAATGAAAAATATATTATTGTTGGTGAAGAAATTACTAAAATTAAATTAGGAGATCGAACCTTTCAAAACATCCCTTTAATTCAGTCATATATCCAAAAATATATTTTAGTTAGTTTAAAATATCAAACTACTATTCCATTCGATAAATTAACACTTAAAGAAAAACTTGAATTACTTGAAGATAATGGTTTATCTCAATATTCTTCAATTATTACTTCAATTAGTGAAAATAAAACAACTAAATTTAATGTTAGTAAAATGGAATGGAAATTTAGAGGTATTAAAGAGAAAGATATTCCTTTTATTATGGAACTTATAAATACTCAAGACATTGGCAGTCAATTATTTAGTTTGTTAATGTGTTTTTCTTTTATTTTTAAATATCAATGATATTTATAATTAGAAAAAATAAATGAAGAGAGTTATAAAGAGTTACATATTGTTTTGATGATTCTTAATGAGTTAAATAAAGGGAATTATCCAAATCTCTATGAAATTGGATCTATTAGAGTTGCATTATTATTATGGAAACATTTTTTCCTATCATTACCCAATCCAGTTATTGAAGAAGATGTTTATAATGAAATGTTAATATATCTTGAACAAGAAAATTTTAAAAAAGAAGAATTAATCCAAATGGAAGAGAATGCACTAGGTAAAAAAGGAGAAATAAAAAGGGAAGTTTTTGATTATACAATTAGTTTTATTAATGAATTAATTGATCAATGTAAAATGAATAAAGAAATGCAACAAGAATGTGCAAATTATTTTCTAAATTGTTTATGTCAAGGGATGATTAATAGAAAGAGTGTTATATCTCTTATTTCATTATTATCATCACCATCTAATAATGAACAAATAATACAATTTGAAAGTACATGGCAATATGAAGGAGAATTTATTGAATATTGTTATAATGATGTTTATTGTCCATTTAAATATATTACAACACATGAAATGAAAGATGATTCTTTTAATTTTGATTCATGGGAACATGGTAAACTCTTTTTAACGAATTATAGAATAAAATTTGTTCCTGATAATTGTGATGACTCAAGTAAAATACAAATAATTTCAACAATTGGTCAAATACCAATTAATTATATTGCAAGTTTTAGAATTGAAGAAAGAAATCAATTATACGGATTGGTAGTGTTTTGTAGAAATTTTACTCATTTATTTTTTGGGTCAAAACAACCATTTGATTCTATTGATAAAGAATTTGTTCATATTCAATATCAGTATCAACCATTCAATGAATATCAATCAAAAATTTTTGATGAAAATACATTGAATGATATAGTTCAATTTGAATATAAACGAATTGGTTATTCTTTTGATGGAACAGAATCAAACTCACCATCTAAACAATATAAAATTAATGCACCTATTGTTGAAGGTATTGAATGTTCAGATACAAGTAGAGTTCCTTATGTTGCTTTCCAAACAAAAAATAAATCTAAAATTATTCAATTCTCTTTATCTTCAAGTATCTCTCTAAATTCACCAACTCCAATTATTTTTAATTCTAGTATTTCTAATGTTGTAAAATATCTTATAACATTTCCTGATATTGCTCTTAAAGATAATGAAACGTATAAAACAATGAAAGATTTAGAAATGAGACTCTTTGATTCATATACATCTAATGCAAATGAATGTATTCAACTCTTCGATTCTACAATGGAATGTTACTCTAATCAAATAGATACAGTTTTTCAAATGATACATAAAAT